CGCCCCGCAGCTCGGCGGGAGGGTCCGGCCCGAACCCACCTGGCCTCCAGCAGCAGCGGCGTGTCGGGCCACTTCGCGGCCAAGTGGGCCGTCACCGCCTTGGACGCGGAGGTCGTTCGGGCGCCGAGGAGCGAGAGCCACAGCGCGGTGGAGCCCAGGAGCAACCGCACCACGTCGGCGGCCTTCGCCATGGCGCGGAGAGAGCAGTTCGAGCCGCTCGGACCCCGCGCCCACAGCCCGCAGCCCGCAGCCGCTCCTCTACCTCCGACTCCTCCCGCCGCGTGGCCGCCCACTTCCGGTGGGGGGAGCTCAAGTCCGTTACTCCGGCCGGGGCCTGGCTTGCGCCGGGCGCATGCGCGTCGCGCTCTCTCGGGAGCCCCCGAGGGCGGACCTCCGAGCCACGTAGGTGCGGGCGGCGCCCGGGTGCGGAGCTTGACTGATGCTCCGGCGGCTCCGTGGCGGCTCACGCAGAAGCTGTGGGGAACGGTACAGGAAGACTGAACTGGGATTTTGGCCGAATAGACTGGCTGGAGATGGCAAAATCTGGAAGCGAAGGCAGGAACCAGCGTGGATATTATCCACATTTACACAGGCGGAAAATAAGGCCTATCAGTGTACTCATCTTGTGGGATTCTCAAGTTTTATTGCATATTTGAGTCACCTGGTAAAGCTTTTCGACAGCCCATTGCCCAGACCACAGCACGCAACAATTAAAAGGGAATTTCTCGGGGTGAGATTCGGTCATGGAAAGTATTTAACCTAACTTTGCCCCCAGGTGTTTCGAGCGTTTAACCATGTTCAGAAACCAGTGACATCACCTGGAGGGCTTGTTAAACCACAGGATGCCGGGCCTCATCCTAGTTTTCCTGACTCAGTAGGTCTGACGTCCAAAAATTTGCATTTCACAGCCATCAAGTTCCCAGGTGATGCTGATACTGCTGGCTGGTATACATGCTTTTAGCCGTTGTCCTCAAACGTGGTCCACGGATTAGAAGCGTCAGCATCACATGTAATAAGCTCATTAGAAATGCAGAACCTCAGGCCCTACCCCAGCCCTGTTGAATCCAAACCCCCAGTGTAACAGGGACCCCAGGTGATAATCTGTGCTCTTCAAGTTTTAAGAAGAGCTGTTTTAGAAGATTACAGGTGAAAATGCATAGAAAAGTGATCGTTGCTTTTTGTCATTATCAGTCAAGATTACACAGCTATAATTGAATCTTGATTTTAGCCATGGACTGACCTCAAAGCTCATGCATTAACATCAGGCTGAAAGACAAAACCTTGGAACAGAGTTGACTGCTTTTCCAGTAACAATGATTCATCAATCAAAATAATCAATTTTATTTAACTGGGCAGAGGAGGAGCTTCAGGATTCTGGCTCCTAGTCACGAATGATTCTTTTACTATTCAGAAGAGAGTAAATTTATTATAAGTATTAAAATATGTGATAAAGAGAAGCAGTAACTGGGAAAACTAGTTTAGGGGATGCCCTGATCTATTTCTTTTTTCCTGTTACTCCTTGTCCCGATAGGGAACCTGGGTCTCTCCAAGTTTCAGAAATGTAATCGCTCCACTTTTCCATTTCCCCTCATTTCCTTAGTATTATCTTTCCTTAGAAGATCTTGGTCTGGAAATTCTACACAGGTCTCACTTCCTAAGTTTAGCCTTCATTTCCTGATTTCTCTCACTTGGTATGATCTATCCCTCCTTTAAATCCCCATAAGCTGTTTATTTTAACTGTCATATCCCCTTTATAATTCTCACTTTAGAATTTGAATACAGTGCTTATCTATTTCTCCTACTGGAGATGATATTTTCCCTGAGGGCTCATGCTTTATTCATTTTTAGCATTCCTTGCAGTACCTAGCACAGTACATGTTATTGGGACACAATAAATATTGAATAGTCCTTCTTTTATCGGTTGGTAGGCAGAAATCTCAGGCAGATGAGTAAGGAGCTTCATTTCTATCCATAGAACATATGAAAAAATATATTATGAATCTTTCACGGGTATTTGCTGTAATTAACTCCTCATTTCCACTTATTTTTAGACTGAATTTTTGACTTAGATTGTGCATAAAAGGAAATAAACTATCAGCAGTGAATGTCTTAAATGTCAGCAGCATATCTGATGTGTTGAAAATCTTTAAGAAATGATTTTCCGTATAAAAAGTCACATGAAATACACTATTAAAGAACACTGCTGAAACGTATACATTCCAGTACATTTGAATTCAGAATAGTAAGAAATACTACATTCCTTTTTTAAAGAGATTGAAATGAATCTAATGCAGGGCTATTTATTTACATAATTATACATTCTAGCTTATATAGTATTTTCCTAGAAATTGAAATGAGTTTGAAATATTCCTCAGACTGGTCATCGATATCGAGAGGATATGACCACCAGCTGACCGTCGAGCAGGACCTGGGGACTCCTTACCCCCTCCCCTGTCCTTGAAATGTACATTTCACCCACTGCTCCCGCATCATAAGCCACTTCAAAGAAGCAGCCTTGAGAAAATAATGTTATTAAGACCATCTGGACTGTATATATGCCTGAACCCTATTAAGGCCTCTTTACAAACGTTTAAGAGTCTTGCTGGTGGGTGCAGAGATCTACTCCTTTTGCGGGCACCCAAAATAAGCCTCATGTGTAAGTTCCTTTACTTATTAAAACTGTCCACCTACCAATTTGGAGTGGTTTTCCTGATTCTTCGGTCTCTCCTTGTTCTTTGGGTATGGAGGCCATATTCTAATTTCACCTGGGGAACTCCTGAGGCTGTGAACTAGCATTAAGGTCTCTTCCATAGGTCATTTCTATGGACAGATGGAAAAACTAAAATGCAAAAATTAAGTAACTCAGCAAAGGTCACTCAAGTTAGTGGAGCAGCAAAGCATTCTAACATCCATTATAAATAACCATTTAGCACAGATTGGCTGTGAACTGAATATAGTTCAGGGACACGATTATACTTTGATATTTCTTAGCAAAATGTTATTCAAAGTTATTCACATCAGGGTAATATGAATGAAAATTGATGATAGCAGTTTTCACTGTATGCGGAAGAAGTGATTAATGAGTGCTTTATAATAAGAATATTGTATTTAATAGAATAAATCATCTTGAATTTTTTTTAGGTACAGCATTGACTATATTTATTTAATGAAAATAGTGGTGCTACGTAAGGATAAAGTTACTGCCAAATTATCATGTAATAGAATAAAACTTTAATTTTCTCCACCTAAATCATGTCTCACAGATGAAATGGCTTTTTAAAAATATCACCTGGTAGGTCTTCCAGATTTCCCTTATTAAGAAAGGCTTTATTCTCATCTTTAAATTTGAATATATTTAATACAATGGTCTCCCCTTATCCTGAGAGGATATGGTCCAAGACCTCCAGTGAATCCCGAAAACCATGGATAGTACTCTGTAATACTATGTTTTCTTCCTATACATACATACAATAAATTAGACTCAGAGATTGACAACAATAAAAATAAAATAGAACAATAATAACAACATATTGTAATAAAAGTAATGTGAATACGGTCTCTCTCTCCTTTTCAAAATATCTTACTGTGTAAATTTAATGCCTTTTCCTTCTTAACTAAGTACTTATTAAGCACTATGGCCATAACTGTTGCTGTTCAAGGTGTGACAGTAAAACTAGCATAAATTTCTTTTCCTTCTTCACAATTTCACGGAGAGAAGATTCCTTCTTACTGTAGATCTTAGCAACATCAGCGCATGAATTTTTTTATTTCATTAAGTCAAGAACGTTCACCTTTGCACTTAAAGGAAGCACTCTCTGGCTTCTCTTTGGCATACACAAATTGCCAGCATCACTACTCTCGTGCTTTGGGGCCATTAGTAAGTGAAGTAAGGATTACTTGAACACAGAACACTAAGATACCCTAGAGTTTGATCTGATAACCCACATAGTTACTAAGTGACCAACAGGCTGACCGAACCGGACAAAGGGATGATTCACCGCCTGGGCAGGGTGACTCGAGATTTCATCCCTCTGTTGGGAGTGAAGCACAATTTAAAACTTATTAATTGGTTATTTCTTGAATTATCCATTAAACATTTTGGACCACAGTTGAGCAAGGGTAACTGAAACCTCAAAGGGAAACTGCAGACAAGAGGGGGTTACTGTACATGAAAATCTTAATCTTTGTTGCAGATAGAAGACTTTGACTTATTTGTTATACATTCCTCCCTAGGCAAATAAACAAAATCATAATTAAATGAGTAATGGTTTAGTTTCCTTCAGTTAATAAAATGTCCTTTAACTGATAAAATTACAATTTTATCAGTAAGTTTGATTTTCATAGGTTTGCATATTTTCCTTAAAATAGATTTCGAACACCTCATTAATGTCTGACTCCACGTGTGTTTGATGAAATTTTCAAATAGCCAAGTAATTATGTGAAACATGTTATTTTTAAATCAGTCCTTTGGGATGATATTAGAACTTGAAATCTGCTGCTTAACAACTTCCTATACTTATATACATGGTCAGTATTTTATAATTATGCATTCAAAATTTGCTAAGTCACTATCTGTTGCTTAAATTATTTATTTTATTTCTTCAGTGAAACACATGGGAGTGAATTGTGTTGGTGGAAGACAAAGAGACATATATTCTGCTTTTACATCTTCTAGTAGAAGTTTGTATAGTTACGTGCACAAACTCATTATTTTCTTAAAATATGTTGTATATCATCGTGGGAAGGTGACTGTATCAAAATTGGGAAAAATATTGAGATAAACAAAATGTTCAATATCTTCAGAGGGTTTACAGTGTAGTAAGAATATATGTCAATTAATTATTATAGAGAAAAGTTACTAAAATTCTATGAAAGTCCAGAAGAAGACACATTTTTAAGACATCTTGTTGAACCAATAAACAAATGAACTAACAGCTTTAGCAAATTTTCTCACTATTCCCTGAATTGAAATATAGCACTTTGAAAAACTGCACAAATTCTTTCAATCCCTGGGGAAGCATCTAAAAAATACTGTCATGATTATCAAGGACAAAAATAAGCATTGTAGAATAGCTACTTTACATTTATGTCATGAAACATGGTCTCAAACCCTCAGTGACACTGTCATTTGGTTGGGAAGGTAGTACAATACATAAAAAATAAAAATAAGAAGTTTTATGTGACAAGATCTGAACGTTTGGCATATTCCAATAACTGTGGCAGAAATGAAAGAAAAAGGCTGGCTCAGGAAAAGCCTCACGGAATAGGTGGTGTGACTACACTTTGAGGAGGGCACAGATGACTCAGAGATCAGCTCTGCCATTGTAGCCTGAATG